TCAATGATATATATCAGGTATGGAATATGGAATTGCTATCCCACAATTCACACAGCGATCCATAATTTCAACAGTATTCAATGCAACAATTTCAAGTTAAACGTGTGAGCGATCTTCGGTGTCCAGTGTAGAAGCAATTGTCGTACAAGGCTGGCAGAGTTGGAATCCGTAATAATAAAGCAGTGATCATTGAAAATATAAAAACAGCCCGATAGATACACACTCAAAATGCGTCGAAGATACAAAACGAGTAGAGCAGAAAAAACCAACAAGCGCCAAAAAATAATCGCAATTAAATCCGGCGTATACCGCACTTGTATACAACAAGTATAAATCGCTCATTTAATTACTTTGCATTAATTACCTAGTGCAATGTTTTTCTTTTTATAATCCTGTAATCGATTAATTAAATCGATCACACCGTTATACCGACAAAAACTAACTTTCTCATTTTTCTCCGGTCCCAGAAAGAGGATTGAGGTGATTTTTTATATTCTTATATAAAAAAATATGACAAATTTTTTAGACTACATTCCAAGTTATTACATTTTTGGCCCATGATTTTCCGTCTCCTTTGCTTAGTGTTCAAGAAAAAAAAATTAATGCATTTTAAGGTTTTTGATAGATTTATGTAATGCTTCCTTATATAGGTTTAGAATACGCTAAATTAGCTACATATAGACGCATCATATAGGGGAGCGAGGGGCTTATTGTAACAGTTTTCATGAAAACTAATATATCTTGAGATTCATTGATTAATATGCTATTAAATAAAAATAGATGAATGCCGTAACTCTTCCTCTACCAAATCAAGTAAAAATAATAACATAACTATTGGTCATTATTTTACAATAATTTTTTTTCTAGAAGAAGTGCGGTGTTACAACTTACCTCGTGCTTGGGGCAAGTTGTAACGTCTACCGGGGCAAGTAGTATCGACAATTCTTTGTTTATTTTAAAAAAATTGACATCTTTCTAAAGTAGGTATTTTGTACTTGTTATCAAAAATCAACTTATATACACTTTTTAAGCAATTTACACCTAAAAATTAAGTAATTAACAGTTTTATTTAGTTAAACACTACTTATAATCATCATAGCGCTTTTAAATTACAGTAAGTACATAATTAAATTATTAATATCTATCTAACAAAGTATTGCACTTATAATATAAGAATCAACATTTTTTGGGGTTTATTATAATTGAATTCAGTCTTCATCTGAGCTACAATTAATACAAATAAAAGATATAGTGTCTCCTGTAACACATCCTACAAGTACCCACATCTTACAAATGATACACTCGACCCCATCTTCTTTATTTGAATCTGTGTAAGCTTCACCACATACCAGACAATACCACTCTTCTGATTCAGATTCTGAATCTGATCATAAAATCTTTTTTTTAACTCTGTCCAGTCCGGTTTTATTTTTTGTTTTTGTTTGATTTACCTTTGCCTTTCCCCTTCCCTTTTCCTTTACCTTTTTCTTTAATATTGTCATATTTTTTCTGTTTTTTCTTTATCTTTTCCTCATATTTTGCGTCTGCTATTTGTATTAGTTTTTCTTGGTATCGCCTTTCGTATAGGTCTAATTTTCGATGACGAAAAAGTTTTTTCTAGACTGTTGTAACACGTTACAACAAGCCCCGAGATTTTGTTACAACTAACCCCATGGTATGATTTTTAACATTTATCAAGATAACTATTTAAACAATTTGGCGATTTTAAAAACTGTTACACATTATCAGAGATAGATAAATTTGAATGTAATTAAGATATAGAAAGTTTGAAATTAGGCGATAATAATAACGCAAACCAAAATTTTACGACAGTACAATTTTATATTACCTGGCAAAAATGAAGTGCATGAATATTTTCGCTCATTACGCTGGTCGGCGGGACATTGGCTATGGCAACATGATGCAGTGCGGTTTATAGGTCAAATCGAGTCAAAGAAATACGCTAATATAGTTTAAGATCCTAGTGAAAAGGGCCTGTTACTACTTACCCCTGTTACAACAAGCCCCTCGCTCCCCTACTTATATTATATTTGACAAACTGGTAGATATTCTTTTTTTTTGTTTTATTGCTTAGATGGGTGGACGAGCTCACAGCCCACCTGGTGTTAAGTGGTTACTGGAGCCCATAGACATCTACGACGTAAATGCGCCACCCACCTTGAGATATCCGTTCTAAGGTCTCAAGTATAGTTACAACGGCTGCCCTACCCTTCAAACCGAAACGCATTACTACTTCACGGCAGAAACAGGCAGGGTGGTGGTACCTACCCTCGCGGACTCGCAAGAGGTCCTACCACCAGTTCAATATTTTGTTTTTGTTTTTAAAAAAAAGCATGACTGTGAAGCGATGGCGTGAGTCAAACGTCATGTTTTGTATGTACTGTAATTATCTTGTACTATAATAATAATAATAATAATAATAATAATAATAATAAGCCTTTATTGCTGTTTTACTAACTTAATACATTACTTAATAATAAATTAAATTTAAGTGCAACTTATAATCAATATCAATTATTCCGTTCGGCGTTCGGTGTGGTTTTAAAAACAGCTTGTCTCTCGACAAAGGCCTCCTCTAAAGATTGCCAATATTCTCGATTTTTGGCCATTCGACTCCAATGCGGGCCGGCGACACTCCTTATTTCATCATTTCTTGTACTATACTTGTGTATGAAATGTTTACGAGCAGAAAAAAACGAGGTAAAGATGTAATGAAAAAAAATGTAACCAAATAAATTTTCATACATTTTTTGATGAAAATCTTTGATGCAAATTGTTGATGAAAATCTTGATCAAAACATTATTTATGGGACATGGGATGCAAGCCGCTCGCGGGCCATTTTTTGTCGGCTCTGGTTTGCTGCAGTGAATTTTTACTGATGAATCCTTAGATTTCGTAAAAGCTGTAATAATAAATTGCGAAGCAATAATATAGAACAAAACAAAAGATATAATATAGGACAAAAATCCGTCCAGTTTATTAGATTTAATTATGGTAATGATAAATAAATAATAATTATATGTCTGTATGTTTACAAATAACAAACTAGGATAATTGACAACATTTCGAAACTTTACCTAAGCCTACCTGTAAAATGTGATTTTAGTGATACTAGGACCTAAAACGTAGGTGAATTTAGCATGACGTTATTACCATATGTTTTTTAATTTGCAAGTCTTAATTCAAGTTGAAGACTTAAAATGCGATTAAAAATAATTTTCAACTCTGGATAAGTTAGTTACATTACATTTTTAATTTAGGAAACTTATCGTCTGTTGAAATGTTATTTTTTCTCTAAGTCCGTCCAAATCTTGTATCTCTATTTAATTTATAAAAATATTTACTTTAACTTTTAATTTCTAATTCAGTGTTTGGGTCCGTTTTATGTGAAACCTGAATTTCTAATTTTACAAATTTTGACAATTTTTAATTATATATTATATGCATGTAGTTTTTACTTATATTACAAGTTTGTAAAACTTTTTATCTTGAAATAAATCATTTTCAATATTATTTTGTATATTTTTTACGTGGTCACAATTCTTCATAAGTAGGCATTGTGATGTTTAGTTGTGGCCTGTCTAAAAGATCCAATCCATACCGCGGTTATTCCCGGCACTTAAACTTAGCGGTATGGAGTTATTGGCTGACTATATTTCTTTATCTTGTGTCTTCTTCTTCTGAGTCGGTCTCTTTATTGCTGAAGGTCGTGTCTAATTTGAAATGTGGACCCCTCGATGCACATTGCTTCCCCACGTCTTCCTGTCCTCAACATTTCTTTAACAAGTCTATGCAAATTACAATCTTTGTAATGACGCTGCATATTTTTTAATTTTTTTATTCCTACTTAATCACTGGTAGCCTAAGGGGCTATTCCAGTCAAGTTCGCATTGGTAGGTCAGCTCACGGGCTCAATCTGAGAGTTGCTAACACTAGCCCTAGTAAGAGTAGTGCTTTGCTGAATCTACCACCGGATCGAAATCGTGATCGACTGAGAAGATTCGGCGAGAAACTGGGTTATATTTTCTATCAAACCAGTTAATTTGTTGACATTAAAATTAGAATTTGTGTATTTTAATTCCTGCACTATAACTTTTATTTTAGACCGAAGTATCGACATTAAACACCCAAAGAGCAAATGAACCTATGAAGCGGGAATGGGATCTGCGACCCTCGGCCTAACACTCAGGAGCTCTAACAACTACCCCATCAAGTCAGACGAAGTTTATCATTACCTATCATTGCGAAAACAGTTTTGATATATTTCATATATGTATTTCTACACAGCGTTCAATTTTATAAGTAAGCGAATTGTAATGAAGTCACAATGAGGTTTGTGACTAAACTGCAGATTTTTACGAAGGTGTAGCCGTCCATTTGCCACATGTCGTAAATGGAAAATTGGGGGGTTGACTCTTCTATAATTTTTAACATTCTTGTCGCCTTTTTTCTGAGGGGACCTGAAATTATTATTTTGTTAGTTAATTGCTAAAAAAAAATATA